AATAGAAAAGGGGGTTAAGATCTTTTACCGTGACACAAATAGAGAAGGGGGTTAAGATCTTTTACCGTGACACAAATAGAAAAGGGGGTTAAGATCTTTTACCGTGTCACCAATAGAAAAGGGGGTTAAGATCTTTTACCGTGACACAAATAGAAAAGGGGGTTAAGATCTTTTACTGACACAAATAGAAAAGGGGGTTAAGATCTTTTACTGACACAAAAAGAAAAGGGGGTTAAGATCTTTTACCGTGACACAAATAGAAAAGGGGGTTAAGATCTTTTACCGTGACACAAATAGAAAAGGGGGTTAAGATCTTTTACCGAGACACAAATAGAAAAGGGGGTTAAGATCTTTTACCGTGACACAAATATAAAAGGGGGGTTAAGATCTTTTACTGACACAAATAGAAAAGGGGGGTTAATATCTTTTACCGTGACAAAAATAGAAAAGGGGGGTTAATATCTTTTACCGTGACACAAATAGAAAAGGGGGTTAAGATCTTTTACCGTGACACAAATAGAAAAGGGGGTTAAGATCTTTTACTGACACAAATAGAAAAGGGGGGTTAAGATCTTTTACCGTGACACAAATATAAAAGGGGGGTTAAGATCTTTACTGACACAAATAGAAAAAGGGGGGGGGGGTTAAGATCTTTTACCATGCCAAGAAAACCTTAGCATTCTCTCCATATAGCAAACTCAATAAAAGCCGAATTAACGTTAATCTGTGATTCTTCCCCGGGGAGATGTGCGCCAAGCAATTAATGTCAGCAGGTTTGAGGGAGGGATCTTAAAATTTTACTGGGTTTAAATTATAAGTAGAATACTAATTATTTAGAAGATTCCCCTCCCCTGTCTTTTTTTTTGGGGGGGGGGGTGCGGGAGTCAAGAATAGGGAAGGAAATTAATTATTGTAAAGTAATTCTTTAAAAAAAGATAAGCTGTATTTCATTTTTTTTTAACGTAAATCAATGTTAAAATATTTTTTCTTGGTACAAATTGGCATCTGGTCGTTGTGGAAGTACCGCGTCGAAATATAGGTAAAAGGGTACCAAATTCCCGGACGCTTACATAATTCCCTGGTTGAACAAGATGGAGACGAGTACTGAATGGGTAGACGTTACCCAATTGGCTATGTAAACATTTTCATTTAGAAGTGAATATTTTCTGCTGATATTTTTTCTTATTTTCTTCAATTCAACTTTTTTAAATATAAATTTTGGTACCAGTGCCTCTGGCATTTTACGTATTTTGTAAATGAATAAAGATTTTTGACAGGAACTATTTAGGGCATAAGGGACTACTTCCTGGGGTAGACGTTTATTTTTTCTCTAACTAAGAAAGCTAAGAACCTAGGATCCACCCCCAGAAGTCTGCTGCCGTAAATTGTCTTGCCGGCGTTTTGGGAATATGGGTGATTTGCATCAATTACACTTTTATTGACTCCATCGCTGTCGAAATCGAACGAGATTTCTTGGCATTAACAGAGTACAACAGGTTGTCCTTGATGGTGATGATCTAGTCCAATGCCTGTGGTCAGTGGGGTTCCTCAAGGGTCAGTCCTTGGGCCCCTTCTATTTTTAATCTTTATAAATGACCTACCATCTTCTGTTACATCAAATACATGTAAAAGGCTTTTTGCCGATGACTGTATCTTGTATCGACCCATTTATAATCAAAATGACTGTGTAGTTCTTCAAAAAGATCTTGACTCGTTAGCTAATTTGGAACATACCGGTATCTGGGGAATGCAAATGTAATTCACTCAGTATTACCAGATCTCGCACACCAGCAAAATATAACTATAATCTGAAAGGACACACATTAGAATCTATAAAGACAGCAAAATATTTAGGGGTAAATCTAACATTATCCTACAACATGTCCTGGGAACCGCATATTAATAATATAACTTCTAAGGCAAATAAGATACTGGGTTTTCTAAAAGGAAATTTGCAGGTAAAAAATGAAGAAACAAAATCTTTGGCATATGAATCAATGGTCAGGTCTAACCTCGAAAACTGTTCTTCAGTTTGGGCACCTCATACAAAAACTTAAAGATAGAAACTAGAAAATGTTCAAAGACGAGCTGCAAGGTATGTCACACATAGATACCACAATACTAGTAGTCTCAGATATGTACACCATCTAAATTGGCCAACTTTGAAAAAAGAAGAAATATGTAGACTTATAATGTTATTTAAAATTACACAAAAATTAGTGGCTATACACGATTCCAAAATGTTGCGCCCTCTTGCGGAAGAGTTACCTACCTTATGTATTGATGACGTCAAACGAGGATAAACGTAAGATTCGCACATGACACAATGCACAAGATTCAAAACAAAGTTGAAAGTAAGTACTTAAATGGAAACAATTTTGTGTTAGAAAACTTGCGTTATTATATTTATACGCGATGTACTTAACGTGGATTAAATGAAGATGTTGACATGCAATCAATGGGCAGGTTAAATCTACTTTCAATTTTGCGCTTATTGTTATGTAAACAATGATACGTCAGTGACCAATTAAGACTTTTCTATGTCACTTAAAAATATACCGTTGTAACATCTTGACTTTAAATTATATATATGATCGATTTCAATCCTAAGTCCCAACATACACACATGGTTTCGAAAAACATTCACCTAGGCCTATAACTTACATGTATGTATTCGATTGAAAATAATTTAATGTAGAAAAACGAATTCAACTGCAAATCTTCATGTCACTTCATTTATTTACAATTTCAATTTGGATTCTCAACCGTAAAAAATTCCCAAAGAGATTGTGATGAATGTTTAAAAAAAAATTATCCAGGCAATAAAAAGAAATCAAAAAACATCTTGCAAAGAAATGCATGATCTTTTTTATGCGAAATCATTTCCTGTGCATGGCTAAAAATCGATTAACTTCCATAAAGATTTTGTTTTAAATTTATTAACGGAATGCATATATTCAAAAAGAACTGAAACTTATCACGGAACTTTGCATCAGGATCTTTGAATTTAGTAGCGAGTCAGCTACTAGTCGTATTTTAGACGATAACATTTTCGAAATAAACTCGTGAGACAGGATTTTTTTTTATAACTACACTCGTGCTTCGCACTCGAGAAAAAAAAATCCTGTCCCATTCTTGAAATAAATTCCATATTCAACTAAAAACATTGAATAACCTCTATTTATTTCTTCATGAATGTACTGGCTCATCGATGGGCGCTGTTAAACGTGCGGGGGGGGGGGGGGGGTGAACCGATTGAGACAGAAACGGAACCTGTAGCACGTGGATAAGAGTCCATTCAAGAGTATGTAAATATAACGAATAACTGTCAGATTTTTATGCAAATTATCGGGCAAGCCACTCGATTGATTACAATATGAAATAAAAAAAATTAGAAAGTTATTCCTTAACAAAATCTTTTCATATACATACCGTAGTTGTATCTTTAAAACAGGTAAAAAGTCATTGGATTAATCGCGTTTGTTCGCAGAGTTAACGGACAATGTTAGTTGCCCCTGAATTTTAATATTATATCTTTAGATGATATCCCGGCATTTATGTTATTTATGAAACCTGAAAAGTGTAAGAAAACTGAGCTTGAAAACTCGCTGAAATATCGGGATGTCTGTTTAAAAAAAATAATGTCAGAAACTACATATCACGCCTGTTCAATCGGGTAAGTAAGGGCTATATCACCATGTGCAACATTCACAGTAATTGATCCAGACTCTGGACTTTTCATATTTTGCAAAATGTAAATACGTTGTAAATAAAAGTACAAACAATGCAGAAAAAAGTTAAAGTGACAATTAGATAAATCTCATTTCGAAGACTGATGGCTAGAGTAGATTTTTAAGCGAATTACAGTACTAGTACTTCTTCCGGAAACCTTTTCCCACACATTGATTTCAGAACATGCGAAATTGAAAGGAACTATATTCATAACGAAGAAAACCTGTTAAGAAAGGTTACAAGTTTTTTTTAATTAATCTTTTTTTGAAAGGGAGGTGTTTATAAATATGGTATACACATGTGCAATGTATACGAAAGAAATTGATTCTGTGTACCAGGGTTTTACCAACGTTACATGTCAGTGAGTTTAGTCGTATTTTTAAAATATGTTAAAGGTACTTGGACACAGATTTGAAGTTAATATATATTTTCTCATTTTTTCTGTATAACATCACGAATTATATATTTTACTAGCATGTCACACAAAAATTAATTAAAAATCGTATTTCGTTAAAAAGTTATTAAAACTTTAAATTTTTTGGCGGGTTTGATTGACACATCCTTGCACTTTCACAAATTTTAACTTTATTCTTTATCCTTAGCAAAAGTGGCAATTTTGATGTGTTTTAATGAGAAATAATAAAACTTTTATCAAGAAAAATAATTTTATTCAGAGTAGAAATGTTAGAAAGCAAAACACCTTCACAAGTATCGTCATTCCGAACTAAGAGATGCGTGCAGAGTTTAGAAAATCGAGCACACTCGTGTTATGTACACTGTAAAAAATGATGTTTAACTTGTGTTTAATTTTTAAACAGTCGTGTTTTACAATTAAACATAGTACGTTTAAATACAAAACACTTGCGTTTTATATATAAACACTGATGTTTAAACTGGTGTTCAATAAGTAGGGTGTTTAATCATCCGTCTTAAACACGTAACATTCATATGCATCAAATCAAAAAATAAATTAAGTGTTACCAAACGCATTCACAATTAACATTAATTGGTAGTAATTTTGTGCCAAAATTTCAAAATTTTCAGAAACTGTTAAAGAGGAAATATAAACAAATATTATGATATTTTCTATAATTGTATCGTTATTTTAATCACCGGTGTTTAACACGAGTGTTCATTTCTTAACCATATATATTTATAAATTAAACACATGGTGTTTATATTGAAATTGCAAATTAAACACCAGTGTTTAATACGTTATGATAGAACATGACGCAGTTGATTATGTCATAACATGCCATTTGAACGCAGAAGATGCAGAATCACGCATATACTGACAAGAAACGCCATATCTAGCAAGGAAATAAGAGGTATATTTATACATTTCTTTACGTAAAATCTTTTAAAAAAGAATGCTGAATACATTAGAGATCTAAAATGTTTTTCATTTATGAAATGCAGGATTGCTTCCTATAGTTAGTAATCGTCTGAGTGCAATCTGGCCATGCGCAGAGGTAGACAAATAAATGCTTATGTAGCTATATAGTCTTGATATCTAATTTTAAAATTTGCAGGGACATTCATCTGGTACTGTGAATCCTGAGAACGAAGATCATACTTAACCGAGAGAGGTGAGTCTTAAAAGAAAAAGCCCCCCCCCCACACACACACCATTGGTTACTGATAAATGAAAATAATCCAATAAGGAACCTACCCTTGCTAATATTTATGCTCCTTAACATGCAACAATACCACATTCGCACATGTACTAGCTGCAGATCTGTAGCGTTATGGTTTTTATGTATTTCCCTTTGACCATAACTAATACATAAAACTATTACGCTAAAGATCTGCAGCTAGCGCATCGACCAACAATAATTTCATCTCCAGCCCGTGCACGTACATGTATTCTTCAAGGAAACTTTACTTTTTTTGAGGGAGTGTGATACGTGATAGAAATGCCTTGGGACAAGGTAGCCCCCCCCCATTCTCTTAATTTTTGCTGTTGGGTTGTTCCTTCCAGGTACATGAACATTTATTTTTTTTTAGTGTACAGACTGTACATGTACGCTTATACATGTATGATTTACAGGTATTTGAATTGCAGATTTTTATTCCAAACTTGTTTCTCAGTATGTATAATATAATTTAAATTGGCGTGAACAATAACAAACATTTTTTTTCGATATTTATGTGGATCTATTCTTTTACAGATAATTATCTGAATTTGCATAGTGAATATTTTTTTCATCCATCTTTCAGGATATGAAGAAATTAGAACTACTTCGGGTGAATGCAATTTTGGAGAATGGAAAACTGGAGATCATCACCCGTTGTAGAAGAACCTGAATTTTACCCGCAACCAGAGGAGCTAGACTGTTTAACTCGGTTCGAATATTATATGGATATTGAGTGAGTGATACCCCGGCATCTCTTGTTTAGTAGCAAGAACTGGTCCTTTACAATTCAAAACTGGAAAAATTTCTTTATTTGGTTAAAACTCTGAATATTTGTGAAAGTATAAACTTGTAACATTTACAACTAGATTTATTAGTGTAATACAAGTACATATAATTCATGCTGTACCAAGACAACAAATATCATTTTCAGTTTTTTGTATCATATTATTTTATCATTTTGCTTGTTTTATTTATTAAAAAAGATGTAAAGGATGGTTTAACCTATTTTTTAAAAATGTTTTAAATTTTACTGATGAAAAACATTTCATTTTATTAAGCGATTATGTTTTTTTTCATATTTCAAAGACCCTCCCCCCCCCACCCCACACCAAATTATTTGAGTTTAGTTTAAACAGATTTTACATCTTCATGCTAGTTTATTTTGAGAATGCTATTTTTTTCAACCAAAATTGAATAATGTGTCCATGTGTTGGTAAACGTGTTATTTAATGTTTCAGTTGTTTATAAAGTTTGAACCCTCAATCAACATAAAATCAATTATTAATTAAAAATAGCTTTATGTACAACATACCAGGTATTCATTATCAACCGCAGTGTGTTTTGTACTGATTTATATTTGTTTCAAATAAAAATGTTGAAAACTTATAAACACGTTTAAGTATTTATTCATTTTGTAAAATAAACACATTGAAGTGTTTAAAAATTGACCTATAAACATCTTTAAGTGATTATTATCTGTTGCATCGAATAAACATGTTTAAGTGTTTAAGTGTTTAGGTTGAACACGTTTATTAATTAAACATGAAATGTTTAAATTTTAAACACCCACGATGTTTATTTAGTAAACTCTAAGTATTTATTCAGTGTTTAATCTTTAAACATTTTGTGTTTTTGAAGTGTTGAATATTAAACCTCATGTGTTTAGAATTTAAACATTCTAACGTGTTTATTTCTTAAACACTTCTTGAGGTTTTAAATTCTAAACGTGTTGAAGTGTTTATTATCTGTTGCAATATGGTGTTTATTTATAAAACACTTATTTTTTACAGTGTACACAGTTTTTGTAAACAGGGCTCGAGTTCTGTTATTGTTTATATTTAGAATTCACCGGGTGCGTTAAATTTCACAGTCTGCTAAGCACAACTGCACGGACTGACAATATATTGTGTGTTTGTTTTGCTTTCGAACGTGTCTACTCTGAATTTTATGGATTATAGTATTAAAGTAGTTCTATACTCGCACTACGTCATTTACGAATAGTAAAACCGGAACCGCGCGTCTTTTTTCCGAGATGAGAGTTTTTAACTATATTGGTTTGACTTTTACTTAGCGTTTTAAATATCCGGTAACGATTTTGCTTGAAGTCGGTTGCGTCAACAAACACATATTGTACAGTTTAAGGATAAATTAATTAAAAGGAAAAGGCTGGGAACAACTTTCGGTTGACAGAAATTATTAGGTAATAAAACGATATTTCTGTGAATGAT